GGCACACCTAACAAGACTGACTACAATAAGTCCACATATAATCCCAAATGGGATGAAGTGGTTCCTCTGTTAGTACCGAATATACGTTAAAACAACTCTTTTTATGATTATTTGATTATTCATTCAAATGGTTGATAAGATACTGTTATATTAAACTGTTATTTATTTAAACCATTATTAGCTGTGATTAAGACCTACGAAGTCGTAAAATGGTTTATGATTTTTGAAACAAATTTATATGAAAATTAGTTGCATATGTTGTCTGATAAATATGATAGTTTTATGAGTACAATATTTATAATGAGTTATCCGGTAATAATAATTATATGCAGTAATTATAATGATGTTTGCTTTTATTTTAATAGTTACGAAATGAGTTAATAATTGGACACACATTTGAATGAATAAAACTATAATTATTTTTCCTATTATTTTCATTTACGTCTGAAATATGAAAGCCTTTTGAATAATTGGTTTAAATAATTAATTAGCGAATAATGCGATAATAATTGTGTGTTTTTGTTGTCTGTGCGATAGACTGGTGTCTCCCTATTCCTTCATTCATCTGCGAGTGTTTAACCACAACTCAATCAAAAGGGACGCCCTGTTAGGCGAGGCCACGATCGATATCTACGACCTGTTGACCCGCAATAGCGGTCACTTCGAGCGGCTGGCCTGTCCTCTGCAGCTCCAGTCGCCCACCAGTAATGGCCCGAAAACGAGTCGAAATCCGTGTTATTTGTATACAATGTTGGATGGCTTGCGAGTCGAGATGAATAGGTTTCCACCTAAAGAGACACAAATGCAAAGGCCGTTAGGCGTGAGGCCTATCAGTGACGGCGACACAAGTAGTCCGTCGTCGTCGTCAACACCACTATTGCCTCGAATTGTCGAATCGGATGCAATGGCGCCCAACACCAACACCAACGTCAACACCGCCGCCGCAGCTCAAGACGGGTCGGCCACCGCTGGCGATACCGTGACCGCCAACGGAGTCGTTCCCAACGGAGTGTCTAATGGTGTGCCCAATGGTGTCAACTCTATTATCAGTTCACTTCCTCAGTGGTCACTAAACGATCCAAATCCTAACCTAAGAGTCGCGAACCCATACCAAACTGTCAATAGTAGTAGTGTTAGTAATAATAGTAGTGCCGCACCGGCACCACCGCAACAGAGGGTAGAGAATGACGCTACTGTCACTGCGCCCCGACCTAGTCCTGTGCGAACGGCTCCACAACTACCACCACCACCACCACCACAGGTACCGTTGCCTCCCGTGGCGCCGCCCCCAGCCTCTCAACCAGCGGCCGCTGCACCGGCGGTTGACGAAGAGCCCCTCCCCACGGGTTGGGAGATTAGATACGACTCCTTCTCGCGAAAGTATTACGTCGACCACAACTCGCGGTCCACCACTTGGGAGAGACCGCAACCATTGCCTCCCGGATGGGAAATGAGACGCGACAACAGGGGACGGGTTTATTACGTCGACCACAACACTAGGTATGACCTCTCCATTGATGTATGATCTAATAGATCGCGAATAAAAAGTGCTGTAAATGATTGATAGGACGACCACATGGCAGAGGCCAACCCCCGAACACGTCCGCAATTTCCAGCACTGGCAGTCACAACAGGGCTCTATTATGCAACAGTGCGGTCAAAGGTTTCTCTACGACCACTCAAATAATAACGGGTCGGTCGCCAACGGGACGCCAAACACCGCCACCACTACCACGACGACGACCACCGAAGAGGACGCTTCGCTCGAAGCCCTTCCAGAGGGTTGGGAACGACGTGTGGACCCCAGCGGACGCGTCTATTTTGTTAACCATAAGAATAAAGTGAGTGAAGAGTTTGATTAGTTTTTGTTTGTTTTTGGTTTTCACTGTTTATCTCATATATGTTTGCATTGATTTCATTATTTACTTTTATCACTCGTTATATTGATTACAAAATGTATTATCAATTGATTAGACGACTCAATGGGAAGATCCGCGAACTCAAGGAAAAGAGACGCCAAACCTGGCGGCGGATATCCCACTGCCTCAGGGCTGGGAAATGAAGTACACGACCGAAGGGACGCCTTATTTCGTGGACCACAACACGAAGACGACGACTTTCAACGACCCGAGAGGACCAAAGATAGGCAAAGGCCAGTACGGGGTGCCCGCGGCCTACGAGCGCTCATTCCGCTGGAAGTTAACGCAATTCCGCTATTTGTGTCATTACAACGCCCTCCCAAGTCATATCAAGATACAGGTGGCGCGCGCCAACATCTTCGAGGACTCCTTCCACGCCATTATGAGGGTTCCGCCCCATGAGCTCAGGCGTAGGCTTTTCATCACATTTAGAGGCGAGGAGGGCCTCGACTACGGAGGCATTGCCAGGGAATGGTTTTTCCTACTATCGCATGAAGTGAGTGGTCATCGAGTGATTGTCTTGTTGTGACACTAATGTGATTGTTTTGGTGATTGAATAGGTGTTGAACCCAATGTACTGTCTGTTTGAATACGCCGGCAAAAACAACTATTCACTGCAGATAAACCCGGCCTCCTCTGTAAATCCCGATCACTTGCTTTACTTCAGATTTATTGGACGATTCATTGCAATGGTTTGTCGTTTGAATTTTTGTTGCAGTTTTATCTCATAGTCTAACGTTTAGTACACTTTATTTATAGTTTAGCTAATGTACCGTATAATAAATTTATAAAATCGATATTTTATAATAATATTCATTTAAAGTTTAATGATAGATTTAATGAGGTTTTTATCATTTATTTTATGAATACATTATTATTTCTTATAATAATGACGAGATTTTATGATATTTTTGATGGAGTCATTGTTTGTTTTATTGTCATTACACTAATCTAATACGGGTAATTTTATTTTTTATTCATCATAGGCTTTATTTCATGGAAAGTTCATATACTCTGGTTTTACTCTACCTTTTTATAAGCGAATGTTAGGCAAAAAGCTGGTCATGAAAGACATCGAATCAATTGATCCCGAGTTCTATAATTCTCTGCTTTGGATTAAGTAATCATTGCATTGATTATTGGGTTTTTGGATAATATTTGTAATTATTGTGATTTTGGTTGCACTTAAAGGGAGAATTCAGTGGAAGAATGTGGACTCGAATTGTATTTCTCAGTAGATTTCGAAATCTTAGGACAAATACAATCGCATGAATTGGTTCCGAATGGCGGCGACAAACGGGTCGACGACCAGAACAAAGACGAGTACTTAAGACTAATGACTGACTGGAGGTTTAGTAGAGGTTTGTTAGCAAATAATTTGCTGTTTTGCGAGCAAATGTCTCATTGAATTGTTTGCAAACGTAGGCCAAGAAGAGCAGACAAAAGCATTTTTAGACGGTTTTAATGAAGTCCTACCACTCGAATGGTTACACTATTTCGACGAAAGGGAACTGGAGTTGTTATTGTGTGGTATGCAGGAGATAGACATCGAGGACTGGCAGCGGAACTCCATTTACCGGCACTATACAAGAAACTCGAAGCAAATCATATGGTTTTGGCAGTTCGTGAGGGATGGCTGCGATAATGAGAAACGGGCCCGACTTCTGCAGTTCGTCACAGGTTTGCCACTCGTATTGACAGCACATGTATGCGGAAGTAGTAATAGATTTGATTGAATTGTGCGCCCCTTTAGGCACGTGTCGCGTCCCTGTGGGAGGCTTTGCGGAGCTGATGGGCTCTAACGGTCCGCAGAGGTTCTGCATCGAGAAAGTGGGTAAAGAGAATTGGCTGCCCCGGAGCCACACGTGCTTCAATCGCCTCGATTTGCCGCCTTATAAATCGTACGAACAATTGGTCGAAAAGCTGACGTTTGCTATCGAAGAGACCGAAGGCTTCTCTCAGGAATAGAGCGCTCAGTCGGCGCCCGATTCGAGCATTTCTGCCGCAAATGCTTGTGTTGATTGTGTGTCGACACACTTAACGTCAGTCCCCTCTGTGGCTAACGTGTTGTTATTAGACTTGCGTTTATGCTTAACATTAACTCTCAATTGCAAAGACACTACAAGTTGTTTACCCCTATAATTGTTATCATATATGGATTTATCTCTTTTTTATTTTTTAAAACTTAGAATTTTATTGATTATATTTTTGAATATGTCAAATAACACGTTGATTGAGTACTTAATGTTAGGCATAAATCCAATGTATAATCATTTTATGTATATTAGTATTATTGATATGAAAAGATGAATGAAATCGTTTGAATGAATTGAATATATATTATAAAGTTCTTTATATAAATATTATAAAACAAATAAATTTAGTAATACTTCAAAGTAATTGTCAATAAAAAGAGCAAATTATATAACGTTTCAATAGATTACTATTGGGTTACGTCTCAACGCTAACAGCCGTTTATGCAATAACTATAAGATTTACTTCAAGTCTCATCTCTTGGGACGCGGTATTAATCGCTGATATCATGTAAAAAGTGATCAAAAAATGGACTCAAATGACAAAATTAAAGAAATTATTTATTTAATAATTGATTTGAAAAACAGAAGCAATTCTTAAGAATTGGGGAATAAATGAATAATTGTCTCCAAAATGGGCAAAAATATATTGTATGAACTTTTTAGTCATTTTTACCGTTGTTTTACAAAAACAAACATCAAATTAAACTATTAATTGAAATATACAATTCAAATAAAAACTTGTAGTCGACTACTGGTACGCGATGTATCCGGGATGCGATGAGATGTCGGTGCTGTACACTTGTATAGAGCCGTCGGGCGCCTGATGTGCATAAGGGTGGTGCGGGTTGATTGAGTACGTGTGCGGATAGACACCAATGGGTTGGTGTATATTAGAGGCCGGAATGTACGTCGGCTGCTGATGAGCCACCAGTCCCTCCAAGTATATGACGGCTGGGTTCGCAGTGCCTATAATACAGTGCAGACAACATTCGTTATAAAATAACAGCACTTTCTTTAGCCGATTCATAACAAGCATCGACTCAAACATCTTAAGTGTAATCAAAACAATAGATTAGACATCGAATGACACGTTTGTGCAGACCTTGCGATAAGGGATGACCCGGTTGTTGCTGTCCGGCAGTTGCATACATACACGACTGCTGCCCAGACGTGGACGCGATGGTGGCGTACTGGTGCGGCACCTCCTCCTCGGTGGCCACCTCTATGGTGGTGGTGGCGGTGGCGGGTACAGCACTGAACTCCTCCTTCACCTCTAGGGCCGCGGCGTCGGCCTTAATCTTCTGCTCCTTGAGGAGAGCGTACTGTTCCTCCCAGTACTTCAAGTCGTTGGACACCCTGTCGACCGTTTCCTCCAACTCCTTCTTCTGGTGCATCCGCTTCACGAACTCCGGGTCGTCGTCAGCGCCGGCCTCAGCGCAGTGACAGGTCGACAGACCTTCCTTCAGCTTAGAGTTGGCCGACTCGTACTCGCGCTTCATCTTCAGCACCACTTTAATCAACTGCTTCGAGATGTCAATCCTGGCCCTCGCCGTCTTGATCCTCATGACCAGCGTCTGCACCAATTGCATCAACTCCTCCATCTGTGTCTCGTATATCTTGCGCTCCAAATCCATCTCAAACTGATGGCTCATCTCCTCGGCTTCAGTGCTAATCATATTCTCATTCATGTCCTCATTATTGGTCTCTAAACGCATACAAAGCCATCAATTAATTCATGACTTCCACTCAAAACACTCGTTGCATTCATACGCTTATTGTCGCCGTTATTGTCATTGTTTTCCGTGTCTTTGCGGTCGTCATCGACGTCAATGTCAATGGTCTCGACAGCGGATGACTTCTTAGCCTTATCTCTGGCGATCTTAAGCATAGCTGCCCTCCAATTGGACGGCAATCGCTTGACGCCAATGTCCACCATTTTGACCGTTTGAATGCAATCGCATTTTGTGGCCAATTTGGTCAACACTTCCTCCGAAGCGGACAACTGTTTGGTGGCCGCACTCTTGTCGTCGTCCGACTGGCACTGACATAAAGACCGCAACTCCTTCAGCGACTGGTTGCACACCTCCAGAGATGACTTAATGCTACCTAAGAGTCAAAGACATACCATTAGTTCATGTGATCATTGGACGCATTGTGTCAACACTTTGCCAGATAATGTCTTATCAATAGATTAGACACTGAGTGGCGTGTCGTGGGCTGTGGTCATGGCATACATACCGAGGATGTGTTTGTGTTGACCGATGGTGTCGTACTCGAGGGTCAGTTTGTCCAACATTTCATACCTCTCGGCGATCATCTTCTGGACCTCTTTGCATAACTTCTGCGTCGATGTGAACCTCAACTTAAAGGGCAGGGCATTGATGTTGTCTTCGTGTGAGTGCGACATCATTTGGGGATCAGTTGATGGCGAGGAAGAGGTGCACGGATTGAGCGATACGTCAATTGAACGCCGATTTAGTCATCACTTTATGGCATAAAAGCCGCGACTTTTAGGTTTGGATTTTCGCTACAAAAATACACACAAACACTCAGTTTTGTTGACAATGTGTGCACTGAGTGTGCATTGAATGCAATGCGTGACAGAGTGTGCGATGTCTACAACACGGGCGCTGAGACTGGACTCCCTGTGGGCGCCATAACTGTGTAACACATCTCCAATACAGTCGACACTATTTATAGCGACAATCGCTTACATCGTATAGACGTGTCCTCTCCTCCCGATCCCTCCGTACGCCACTCCCAGACACCCCGTCCTCACAACCCCTTCACTGACCGCTAGTTATATGTGTTTTGTGTGCTATTCATGTGTCCAATGGATACTAATTGTGTGCAAATTGTGGGCAAAGAGATGACCACTGGATTAGGCTCTACCTTATGTGCCATAGCGGGCGCACGTGTGGGCCCTTTATGTGTGTGTTGTGTATTGGGTGTGTAGTCATAAATAGTGTGCTATGAATGTCAGCATAAATAATGTGAAGCATTGTATTGAATGGAGTCGTGAATCGTATGGAAACCCATATGGAAAGCAAACGGACGACTCGATTGCACCGCAAATGCAAAGACGTCTTACACTGTAATGACTGCACGAATGTGTGGAATATTCTGACGCCTTATCGCTGTATTCAATGCCATACTTTTGTGAACTTTTTAGCATTGATTTGGCCGTTAATGTGAACTTATCTCATGTGAGCTAATCATATCACAGTCAATGCAATCATATGAGCACTTTATGTTTGACAATAATAATGAGCTCATAATTAATGGTTTATAAATCAAATCTTTGGACAAATAGTTGTAGATATTACACCATACATGATGTATGATCAAGTTCATGTATGATCAAGGCTAAAATGAAATTCTTAAATAAAACTTACTAATATGATTATATATCTAATTAGTTTAACTCAATTTTCTATTTTGTAAATGTAATTAAAACCTACTTTTCACATAAAAGTGTTTTAAATGATATATCATACAGGTACATTACTCCGTAAAATAATCAGTGCAAACAAATAATTGATTAAAACATTACTTTTTATTGAATATATGAATAAATGAAATACAATTGTGAGAGACATATAGACATACAATATATTAATAGTAAATAACAGAATAATTGAATTCCTGTATTCATAAAATTGATTACAAAATAGGGTTCAAATATATGCATAAGTTTTGGTGGATTTCATAAAAATTGCAACTTCTGTCAAAAAAATAAATGTCAACTAAACATACAGTACTTCATAAGTGTATAGTTAATACCAATTGAGTGATAGTTATCCATAGCTTGACGTGAATCAAGTGATGGTAACTTTGAACGCCATTATAACGTGTCTAAGAGGCCGGCAATTTCCACTCAAAACCGGGATGGCAGGGGTCACCCGCTTTACATGACCAGCCATCACCTTTCTTATCTACATCTCCCTTACACGGGCACTGGGTCTTGATCTGGTAGGCCACCCATATGTCCGGTCGAGTGAATAGCCTTTTCATGCAAACGGCAAACATGTTAAGTATGGAGAAAAGCCGGGGCCGGGGGTCGGAGTCTATGTTTGCCTCTTTGGTCGACGCTTTGTTCATTAGGTTGGATATGATTGCCGTCACAG